TATAAATACATTGGACATTATCACAAGACTCAGGTCTGCATCTCAAAGGTCAAGGTCACACTTTTTTGTAATGTAACTTGCCCTGTTTTGAATTTGAAATGGATCGACCTGAGGCTGAGGGGTTATAATTTTAAAAACGTAAGTTTTTTATTTTACTTTCCTAGCAAACTTCGGAGAAATAATTTAATCTTGAGACTCTTTGATCTCGCAGAAGTGTAACTTTAATTTTAAGACATGCTGTCTCTAGAATTACATCAAGAGATATTGAATATTCTCCAAAGTAATGCAATATTAATATTTTATATTATTACACCTCACTTTTTTCGTAATGTTAATTTCCCATAGGCCTCTGGAATGTAATGTTAATTTCCCATAGGCCTCTGGAAGTTATTCTTACTGTTAATGCAAGTGTACCATGTGACTAAGAATTTTGTACTGTCACATGTAGTAGGGCAGGTTATTTCCCTTTCTTTGTAAATAAATGTTCTGATTTTTGACACGTTCTGACTTAGGTTTCTCTTTATTGTAGTACATGAAATTATAATTTGTTGCATTTTATAAAACAGTTAATACACAGCATGTCGAGTACATTATTAGCCATTGAATTTGTCAAGATAAAGAAGATTTCAGGAATAAGACTTTAACAACTTTGCTTTTGGTAATTATTCTTAATTTATATTTATGAAACTAAATGTTTATTAACAACATGTTGATATATTGGTTGTTTTGAAATAATTATAACTTTGGTATATTAAAGGTCTGATTTAACTTCTCCTCGGAGCGTGCACGTCGGGCATCGGCAGAAGATTTACAGCTTGGCTGGTAGCAAACACAACTCAACTAAAACGAACCCCCCTAGGCTGTAACAACGGGATCACTACTTCGTCAAAAACTGCGGACCAGCTGCCGGTGTCCTGACAAATGCCGAGGGGAGTGGCCCTACAAAGTAGGCTGAGACGACGAGGATGGTGTGCTAGGGTGTGTGAGCCCCTAGTTCAGATAGACGGCTTGTAAAGCAGGCCTTTTGCTGGCACCAACAGCCCTTTTCAGGGCTAACCTTTCATATTGTCATAGGTTACTGTACATTTAGGTTCTCATTGACCGCCGTACAGTGACCTGCTTTTGGCTCAAAATTCATATCTTTGGCTATTACTCCGTGGAAATTGCATGGAGGTAAATTATCACCACTTTGTGCTTTAAGGGCATGACTGGTGACATGTCCGGGGTCCGTACTCGACAGCGAACGAGAGGGCGGATGGACCCTCATTAAACATTAACTACATAAATGGTAGCAAAGGCTTCTCACTTCCCCTCGGAGCGTGCACGTCGCTGAGAAGGCTCAGGGCATCGGCAGATGATTTACAGCTTGGCTGGTAGTAAACACAACTGAACTAAATAGAAGCCCCCCTTAGGCTGTAACAACGGGATCACTACTTCGTCAACAACTGCGGACCAGCAGCCGGTGTCCTGACAAATGCCGAGGGGAGTGGCCCTACAAAGTAGGCTGAGACAGACAACGAGGATGGTGTGCTAGGGTGCGTGAGCCCCTACTACAGATAGACGGCTTGTAAATCAGGCCTTTTGCTGGCACCAACAGCCCTTGTCAGGGCTAACCTTGCAGATTGTCACAGGTTACTGTACATTTAGGTTCTCATTGACCGCCGTACAGTGACCTACTTTTGGCTCAAAATTCATTTCTTTGGCTAATACTCCGTGGAAATTGCATGGAGGTAAATTATCACCACTTTCTGCTTCAAAATTAACTCTTTAAGGGTATGACTGGTGACATGTCCGGGGTCCGTACTCGACAGCGAAAGCTGCATTTTGTGCCCGAAAGGGCGTATGGACCCTCATTAAGCATTAACTACATACATACATGGTAACAAAGGTTATAAGGCCACGCTACCGTCCCTTCCCCTATCTAAATTTATTAGGTATTCTATTATTAAAAGTAAAAGTAAATTATTAAGTATTTCTTTATTAAAGTAAAAGTACATTATTTCTCTCTTCAATTATTCTGCATTGAAAGTTCTTTGAAATAAAATTTGGTAGTTATTATAGAATTTAATGTCTATCAGACAGTTCATACTTTGATAAATTAAAGTTGTATATATTTAAATAAAGAACATTATCATATATGTATATAAATCTGTATTAAAAATCAGAACTTGAAACTTGGTGTTTTTGTTATTTCCTACAGTAAAGATTCAGAATTAAAAAGACAAAGTGAGTTCTATATAATTCAGTAGCAAGAAAAAGGGAGAGGAACTTGCGAAGCCATGTTGTGATAGTTTTGCAACCTGTCGCCTCGGAAGTAGCCCTCTCCTGCTACACATAGGTAACAGTACTTTTTAACAGTATAAAATGGTAATAGGACATTTCGGACCATGGGCATTTCGGACCAGATATTGGGACATTTCGGACCATGTGTTAGACATTTCGGATCATGTGTTAGACAATTCGGACCAGATTAAAATATTATTTAATTATTTTTTGATATATTATGCATCAATTATTCTATAAACTAAAGAGTAACTTTAGTATATATTAGACACCATGGAACGATATTACACCTATCCTATAGGTATATTCAGTGTGTGTGCGTGTGTGTGTGTGTGTGTGTGCGCGCGCGTGTGTGTGTGTGTGTGTGTGTGTGTGTGTGTGTACTTATTGTACATATTATCAAATAGTTGATTAAACAGGTATGTAAATCAATTTCAATTCTTTTAGATAAATTAAGCATAGCGTATCATTATCTATATTTTGTATGAAGGGCATTCGCATAAATATATCCTACGCTTACCAATATAGTTCTAAAGGTATTCTATTATTGTTTTAATTTTTTTTCAATATTAAAAAAATGTCAGCATATAGAAATACATAAATGAACTATGATAGAAATATTTTACATGGATAGTCAAAACAATGGTAATATAAGCCTGTCGGAAAATGTGAAAATCTCGTGGGACAGGTCTTTACTGCATGCATTTTGAATATCATAAAATACATGTATAAAAATGTCAAATATTTGTTGCATTTATTATTAGAAAATATTGTAAATACATCCTGAAATAACAAATAATTATAATTATAAAATTATAAAAAAGGAATAAATTTTCTGGTCCGAAGTGTCCCCATCATGGTCCGAAATGACCATCACATAGTCCGATATGTCCCAAAATCTGGTCCGAAATGACCAAAAACTCTGGTTTGAAGTGTCTAGTCCAAATTTCAGCTCGTCAGCTGCAACCAAGAGATATCTAGGAGCTTGGAGTAATGTTGGCCAAAGAATGTGCAGCCATAACCGTTAGAACGATCAGAAACCTAATAGGGATTATGAGAAGGTGCCCTGTCATTGACAGTTACGGATCACACACATGGTAATAAGTCTAAAACTGTATACACAAATAAAAACACAACAATTTAACAAATTTGGAAAACACGCTGCATGTTCTGACATCTTTAAAGAAGTGGGTTATCCTTTTCTCTAGCACAGACTCAGTGTAAAACTTAATAATAGGGTTAAATTCGTCCTTCAACTGAATTGATAAAACAGTAAATGATCATTCAAAACATTTCGCACGGCGTTAATAAAATTATCCCAAAAACATTCACAGTCAAACATATTGTGCTTAGCAAAAGTTGAGTAGTACAGTTTGTCAAATTGCATGACTTTGTTTATTATGTACTTGGTCCTTAAATAATTTTCCTCCTGAGCTGAGGTATCCAGGCATGCAGTAATTTCGCAAGGTATGTGCAAATGTAACACAGAAAGAAATGAAAAAATTCATACGTGTGCTGAAATATGACATCTCCATTATAAACATTCCTCTTTTCAAGATCAATCACGAAAGTATCTAGCTGCCGCAACCAATCGTGAGGGACCTTAAACGTTACATAATTTATCGGCAAAGTATCACAGTTGGTAAACGGGCTACATATGACGCGAACAAAAATTCGCGATTTTTTATAGAAATAATTGCGTTTTAGTGCGAGTTAATATCTTTTCTATAATTATATCTAAATAAATACATGACAATTTGTTAAAGAATGATTTATATACAATTTAATACGAAAAATTTCCTTATTTTTAATGTCTATATTACAACAATTTTGGTACAGTCTTATCAAAATCAAATTTTATCACTTGCGCGCACATGTATACACACGCGCAAAAAAGAAAGAAAAAGAACATGTCGGGTCTAAATTACAGTTTGTTTTATATTTTCACGAATACATAGACGTACGCGAAATTGCATTTATTTGGTTCCATATAAGCTATAAATGATTGATTATTTACTTTTTTTCTTTTAAGGCATATTATGCCTCATGAATCCATATATTTATCTTTCTTTAGATATAGCAGACATGTGTTTAGTAATTAATGTTTAGATAATGGACGAAGTGCATATTAGATGTTTTACAACTGGAAAAAGTAAGCCAGAACATGCCGTTATGTGTATTGGTACCAAATGTAAACAAAGTAGTATTTTGACTTCCTTTCAAAATACCAATTTACTATCATTATACCAATTGCCAATAGAACTGAAGATGCAAAAGATAGTTAATGTATGTAGCAAATGAGTATGGTTTTGGAAATCATAACAAGATACCAAAACTAAACAGTTTTCGAGAAATGAAAATAAATAAAAGCTTTTCTGAAGCAGAATAGACATGTAAAACCCTTTCTAAGATATAATATGACAAAAAGTAGGCGGCCAATTAAAAATGTAACACAGAGTGTATAAGTAAAGAGGCTAATATGCAGGATAAGTAAATCTTGTTGTTTAGGTATCTTGATTTGGATTTAAAACAAAGAAAGTTTCATACTTATTACTATTCAACTTTTATTATGAAATTGTATGCACTCACATATGCATTCACGAAACAAATTATAATTGCAAGATATCAAGCAATGAGTAAAAATATGCCAGATTTGATTTAAAAAGAGCTTAACAATGCATTTTCCATTTGATAATTGGTTTACCAAAACAATTTTATCAACTAACTTGTGACCAAAGCTCACATTTGTAAACACGTAATTTGTCCTCAACAACGCCAACTATAAGTCTACATCTTTCTTTGTCGAAACACATAGAACACAATTTATTATTACTTAATGGTATGTTATTTACAGTCCCATGTTTTTTTCCATTATAATCCAGCTGATGAACATTGTTTTTTTCATCTAATACAAGAACCATACCTTCACCAGCAATACATATATCACGTAAAGTATAACCGTCAAATTGTGAACTGATATGATTTCCTTTACAATCTATTGTAGTCAGACCTGTATTTGTACTGAAGTAGAGTCGCTCACCATCGTCACTTAAAACAATTGAGTATGTGTAAAACTTTAGCTGATAGAGAACCTGCTTTTGTTTACAGTCTTTGTCATATTTGTAAATTGTGTCTCCACTGCTAACATACAGTGTGTCACCGTGACAAGCTAGACCGTAACATTTATGATCTAGCTTCATCAATTGTCTTAGGTTTAAATTACCTGACACATTTACGTACTGTATGGTATTTCTTAAACTAACAACAGCTGTATCTTTGCCTTTATAACAAACAGAATAGGGTTTTTCCGGTAGACCACAATAACTGGTTACCGTGTACGAACTGTTCAATTTCTTTAGTTTCTTATTGAAGAAATCAGCAAGGAGAACTTCACTTTTAGGAAGCATACACATACTAGTGATCATACACCCAAGTTGATCATTGTTGTCTATATTTATTAAAGTATTATCTATCCTTACGTTATAACCTCCTTTCAAACTCTTGATGGCTAGACGACGCTTCCGTTCAACATACGACATAAGTTGTTTTATTCCATGACAAGTGCTGTAGAAATAAGAAGATTTTTGACATTATGTTCAGCTATGAATTTCAGGAGTGATATATGGAATACTAGACATACAATCATCTAGCATTGAACAGAACATTATTTTGTTTGTATCTTTTATACCAGTTTGAACGATATAATTTTTATAATACACTTTCATTAACATAACTCAACAAAGGCATTATCCTCAATTAAAATTATTGTTTTCGATTATTTATTTAAAACCTCTAATAAATGCCTTTTAAAACCTCTATGCTCTTTTAAGAGCATGTACTAAAGATGTGTACATAGACAATACTATGAAAGTGAATATTCACCATTGTATTAAATAATACTTATGTACACATTTAGTAATTTATATATTATAATGATAAGGACAATTTAAATTCCTTCATTATATTATATCTCCTGTTAATCTATCTGAAAAATGATAGTAAAAAGATAATGTTATATGATTGGAATATTTTTGAATATTAAAAAGATGGTTTCCTTTTTCCTTATTGTGTTTTACAGGATTGAAATTTCAAAACTAATTTATTTATATCCAGAATTATTATTGAAAAAAAAATGACACGAATGTTGTTGTTGTTGTTGTTCAATGTGATACCTTTTGTTCTAAATTTACAACCTTTTGATAAATTACTGAATGTAAGAAATGTAAAATTACCCATGTTTTGATTCCCTGCATGCTGCACAGAAAAACGTGTCATGGTCAGGACAATACTCAGTGCATTGTATATTCTGATGATTGGCACAATTCATATTTCTCGCTACGTTTGTAAAGTCTGAAAGATTTCATAATTTTGTATAAGTCGAACACGATAACGTTTTCATTAATTGGTCGTACCATTATGACAAAATGGGTTGTGCAAATAATTCAGTTATTATATTTTTCATTTTTATTGCAATATAGTAAATAAAAGTGGATATGGACATGTACATTAGAGTTGCGTAGGGGTTAGAGAGTTCAGTTTATGAAGAGTTCATGTAAAAAAAAAATAAAAAAATTCGAGATCAAATCTGCAATTGTGCAATATTTTTTGTGTCTGTATTGTTTTTACTTTCATATTCACTTAAATAAACCTGTGATTTATTTAATATTTTGTTCAATTTAAAGTTAATTAAATAGTAATGATTTAGAAAAATTGAATGTATTTGATTTCAACAGTCATTGAACAGATTGAATAGTATTGTCAAATTAATTATATTTAAAACTCTGTTGTTTCTAACTTAATAAAAGTTCTCTAATAGTATTGTGTGAAAGAAATTTACGAGGAACTAAAAATATCAAAAAAAACAAAAAATATAAGTAAAGAAAAAATGCCTTTTTCAGGAATCGAACCAGGGCCTCAACACTGACGAAGCCAAAACTCAACTACTATGCTATTACGCAGTATGAGTAATTGTTTAGGTGATTAAAGATTTTAGGCGATAAATAGTATCCTTTATATAAGAATTATCGACATCCCTTTTGGTCAATATTGATATATACAGATAATGAAAAGAATAGCGAATTCGCGCTGTACATGTCGAATAAAATGGATTTAAAATTTCAACGTTGAAAGTTGTTTTATTAATCATAAGTTATCTTAACGATATTGATAAAAAAGATATTTCAATTGATTTCAATCAGTTAATTGGTACATATACTGTACATTGATTTCAAATGCACCCGCTGGAAAAAACCACTATTACATATAAAGAATGTTCTTAATATATAGATCTAACTTACGCAGGCGTTGTTTTGCTTTCTCGATGCCATTTGATGAGCAATTAGCTATTATATCATGGGATTCAACCTTCTTTTGCACATATAACCATCGTCTAAGGTTAAACAATTCTTGTTGAAATTCGTTACAGTTGACAGTCTTGAGAAAATCTTCCATGGCTTCAGAACCTAGACAGTTGATTTGTATGTCTGTTGACGATTGATCAGAGGAAGAAACATCAACGATATGGCATTTTTGTACAGCTTTGATGTATTCTACGAGGTGATATATTGGTGTATCAGTTGATCTTTCATCCTAAGGCGAACCAGTCATATCATCTTTATCTTTAATATAGTCTCTCATTACTTCATAAACTCGTTGATTCCCTTCAGCACTTTTTTCACCATTTTTAGCAATAACTTTTATCTGTAGATCGAGCAAGAAGTGCTCTGAAAAAAAAAGAAGAAATTATGACACAAATTAACGTACATTATCAGAAGGACGAGGACAGAGGACGCATTTATTGAAATGAATCAGTCAAAGGATGTTTGCATATGTTAAAGCACGATAAAACGTTTTTGCAGTTTTGCAGTTTTTATAAAGAAAAGTTTAAGTACTGATAATTTGAAGTCGAATCATTAATACATTGCGTAACTTAAATGTTACCTTTTTTTCTTTTGCCTTTAAGGTAAAACGAATATTCATTGAAATGATATATCAAAACTCGATTTCTTTAAGTATTTCTTTTCATCAAATACCTTTAACATTCTTTTGCGTTCCTTCAGATCTAAGATTTAGCATAAGCTGAAGCGTATTTTCTTTATCTGTAAATAAAACGAAACTCGTGCAATTACGGAAAAAGACAAAAAAAAATATTCAAACATCATATTATATTTCAAATTGTTATTATATTTGTAGCTATTAATACATTTTGTACGAGTTTAGCAATATAACATATGTTTAAAAACATTAAACATTTATTTCTAAAATTCAATCCGTGTCATCTTTAAAAGAAATATTGCCTGAATATTTTTGCATTCCAAAATAAATACGAAGTTATTCTTTTTGACATCAAGGCGCTTATTTTAGATTGAACTATTTCCATTTTATACAAAATAGTGTTTGTTGCCAATATTTTGTGAAAAAATTCTTCTCTACAACAATTGTATACAAGGATTGATAAAAAAAGTTCTTGGCCAGATGTACTTCCGCTAGTCAGATTACCCAACTTATGGTCCTACTTTTCAATATATTCGCCCTCTACATCAATGCACTTTGCCCACCTGTGCACCAACTTGTTTAACCCTTCAAAATAGAACCTCAAAGAACTCATTGGCCGCCTCCATGACACCTTCATTGCTTCTAAAACATTAACAATAAAGCTTGGTTTTCAGTTTAGGAAAAGGTAGTCAGAGGGGGTCGAGTCCGAAGAATGTAGGGGTGTGGAAGAATTTCAAAGCAGCAGTCAGCTGCAGCAGCCATCGCAACTTGGGATGAGTGATTGACCTATGTACGATCCGGTAGATAAAATCAGGTTCATCCTCGTAGCGAGACAAAGATATCTTGATATGTCAAGCCTGGTCCGTTTCTGGTCGTCAGTCAACTGTCTGGGGACCCATCTAGCGGAAACCTTTGACATGCCTTAGACATCAGTCAGAATTGGCTGAAATGATCCAAAGGTAATACCCACTTCCCTAACAATGCTTCGCAGGTCTCGCCTTCTGTCGCACATGACCAGATCGTGCACAGCTTTGGCAGTTTCATCGTTGGGACCTATTTTGGCCGTCCAGATCGCTCATCATCTCCCTGCCCCTCTTAAATTCAGCAGCCCATTTTTTCACAGTGCTATTGGAAGGGGACTCCTTCCCAAGTGTATCCATGAAGTCTTTATGGATTTCCTTGGGGGACATCCCTTTCTTACAGATGTACTTAATGACGGCTCTGATTTCCATTTTCTCCATTTGGTCTTAATGACACACCCTCTACTGATCAAAGTGTGTTTTATGTTGTTTAATCTCCGTAAAACCGCGTGTAACTCGGTCAGTAATCTTCGATACGGTATCGGTATCGACGTATCGTGTGTAAATATCAGTGTAGTGGCTAGAAGAATATTGGGTGGAGAACTTTTTGATCATACATCGTATGCAAACTTTTAGCTCCTTTGGAAATATAACCATATATAAACTTCCAATCTAGGGTAATGTCTCCAAAGTTTCCATTCAGAATATTTCATGTTGCTATATCTTTTACAAACTTGTTTTCTTACAAAGTATATAAACTTCTTTGTCCTGATACAGATTTAACAAATCATGTCGTTTAATATCATCATTTAAACCGCGGTACTTTTTACATTATTTTAACGTGAGTGTTGTTCATTGTTGTTGTGAGAGTTTTTTATGGGGTCTCACTGTGTTGGACTTGTTCTAATAAATTTTCATCTTTCTATTTTTATCAAAATTGAATTTCTTCTGTTGTTCTTTTCAGGACCACCAGACTGTTTACAAATGAGTAAATCAGGCAATTCAATTTCACGATTTTCAGGTTTTCAGAGGTAATTGCTTACATGTAACGTGGAAGATTTCTAGGAGAGCTTACACACACACACACACACACACATACAGTCTGATACGTCAGTTCGATGCAGATTGGTTTCAGAAGGTAAAAGTAGTGGATGGAACGGGACAACAAGTGCGTTGAGTGTAGTGGCGATTAAAATACGCTGACTTGTAACGTAAACTGTCAACGTCGAAATGTCATCTTGACGTCGTTTCCGTTCAACTGTACATTACACTTACCGTTCGACAATGGTTTCATGGGAGACCCACTGGTCATATCGTTCCCAAATTAAAAAGATATATAGAAAAATGCTGATATATAACTATTATGTATATTTGATATAATTATCAATACAAACAAAATAAATGCAACTAGATTCCACGATTTTATCCACACTCGTAGTTTTAAATTCAAATCATGGTTTAATCACCTAGTAGTTTTTCAAGCATTACATATAGTTACCAAATTTTGCACTTTTCTAGATTATTTCGTATAAGGATAAGCTCTTATTTGTTTTAATTTAATGTCAAGGACAAACCTTTTATCTGTCGCTCCATCAGTTTAAGTTTCAATTCATGCTGAAGAAAGAAAAGTTTAAAACGTTGCGTTATATATTTTATTCGAATAATAAAGGAGACTGAATTTGAATAATAATTAATTTGCTCATATTCAATTAATGATACATTACTTACTCAGTGTCGTGCTAATACTTACTGAACATTAGAAAAGATAAGATATCACCGTCTAAATGCAACTGTATTACTAAAGCTTGAGATGAAGTCATTATATGAGAATAGTTTATCACCATAGTGTAAATTAACGTAACAAAACTGTTACGTCATTTTAAAATTGTATTCTTTTCCACTAGTCACGAATGTATTGTTCGCATCTTAAACAAATTTTAAACAATGCTATATATGGGTGCGATCATTATAATTTAATAAGCCATGTTAAAATGACAGATAAAAGAGCACCAGTAATAAATGATAGGTTGAACATGTTTTTCTCAGTAATAATACGCATAAAATAAATAGACTAGCACCTATAGATTTTTTTTGGTATTTTTCAAAGATCTTATGAGACTTGTTATTGACTTACTATGTCAGTCGTAAAAACTGATATACTCAAAAGCATTTACTATGATACTTGCCTGTTGTTTTGCTGATTGGTATTTCTCTTCTAATCTAGACATTCCGTGCTCTCTTAGCTGTCGCCCCTTATGTTCAAGCTTTATCTCAATCTGATTTTTCTGCACCTGTAAGAAATTTAAGATAGGAATTAACTCAAGATTTGACTTTGATAAACATTTTTATGATTTATTCTTACTTTTAAACATGATTATATTAAGGACTGCCTGTCTATGTCATAACGCCCATACAAAGGACCACAATGGAAATAAGAGCTTTTTGCACTTTTTTGTGTTATCCTTGGTGTTGGTGAGCATGTAATAGTTTTCTCGTATGTGATCTAGTATTTAAAAATGCTCATTATGTTATCCTATGTTATGTTGTCAACTATGTATATGCTTCCTATGCCGTAATAAATTTATCTATCTAATACAGTCCGTATGAAATGCTTCTTTTTTGAAATGACACAACCGACCCATAATTATTAAAGTTAAATGTTTAATATCTTTTTCAAAATTGATGTTACCAATGATGTTCATGTAATTTAAACAATCTAGTTGGATTTAAACTTTTGTGGTGATAAACGCTTCCTAGGGGTCGCGATATTTACAAATTCCATTGTGCAAAATGAATTAGTTTCATATCTTTTTTTTTGGGGTTACATATCATTAAAAACAACACGTAGTGCAGGAAAGTGTCTACTGTAAAACGCTTTTAACCACTTTATTCCATACAAGGAGCTCAATCAACTTATACAAAACAACTTAACGTGCAAGTACGGACAAATAATTAAAAAAATATTGGAATTGCAAAGTATATATAAAATATAACGAAATAGATTATTATGTTCTGGATTGATACATTAAATTAAAACTGTAACTGATCTCCCACAAATTTTGATAAAGTTTAATATCTGAAGAAAAGTGATTAATAAAATGTGTCCCCATTAGGCACATTATGTCTTTTTAAATGCTACATTATTTCAAGGGAAATTACCATATCTAGTAAATGTAACGCTTCTTCTACGCCTGGCTCGTCTTTCAGAGGTGTATTGCCATGATTGTCTTTGATTTCTAGTACTTCCTTAAATGTCTTTATATACTTGTTAAGTTGATTCTCAGACAGTTCATAGTTTGGATTGTGAAGAATATCATTTCGCACTTCTCGTGCCTATGAAAAACACTTTAATATGTAATATGTCTTTTTAATCTTTTTCTAAATTACAACACCTGAATTGAGTTTCTTGGCGATACGAAAAGGCTGTTCTTAACCACAAGTTAGCCATAAAAAATTGTTACTTATTTTAAATGAAATCAATATCTTGCAAAATGCAGGCATTATCTTAAATGTGTGAAATGATTATTTGAAATGAAACATGACAAAATGTGACTTCTGAACCTGGTGAAAATTACCTGAGCAAACGCATCGTTTTTTCCATCGATGTTAATTTCTCCTAACTTCTTTACTATGTAAATATTGTTTATAAATAAACTTAGTAGACTTAGCTGATTGTTTGTCTTCGTAGCCAGTAGTATTTACAAAACATGTAGCAACACTCCAAGGCTCAGTGCTCCATTTCCGGACATCCGTGTTTGCAATTAATGGGTCACGAAAACGATGATCACAAACTATTCGATCATAGAATTTGCCACAAAATCCTCCATTGGGACACATTTTTGTCAATTTATTTCTTTGATTCTTGGTACATAGACATAAATGCTTCTTTTGGTTTGGACATGCATTTTGTTTATGAGGAATAAGACTTTCCTTTGTACAAGAATTACAAGCGCCTCCTAGTGCTGACATTATATCATCATGTTGACTCTTCACAGCGCTGTCGAAAAATCCCTCTAAACCGGTTTTCAGATATTTTAGTGCCAGAGCCCCTCTTACCCAATTTCTGTATAGCTCCTCTATTAGTTGAGTTCTGTGTAAAAGGTCTTTATCACCTTAAATACGTTTCAACAAACATAAATATGCCTCAGCTTTAAAGGTATTTGACAAAACAATGTGTGAAGACTAAGCTGCAATGTTTTTTTAATGTTAGAACTAGTAATGAATCAAAAGCATTAATAAAATCAGTAAAACAATTATAAACCAGTATCAATAAATTTGTTATGACAACCAACTTACCGAAAAAAGTGTAATGAAAAGTCAATACAAAAATGAATAAAAGAAAAGAAAATACCAAAAAAGAAGTTAACCTTCTTTTCTAATAGATAGTTTTTCATTTAAACAGTGGACTTAAGATATAATGACCTTGTACTACCAACGTTGTTTGAGATAAGACTTTTCCAAAGTTCACTGTGTATTCACCCTCATCTTGAAATGTTACATTCATGACCGTCAATTTGTGTGTAGTTCCCTTTGCTTGTATAACGTATTTATCAGATGATTCTAAAAGATTCCCATTGTGTCGCCAAACTGCTTTACTCGTTAGTAGGTTAACTTTACACTCGATATCGATGTTTCTATGCTCAATTACTTCGGGCTTGTCCGGCAAATCAACGACCAAATTCAATGTTTCATCTGTCACAAGAGAACGAAAATATATTTGGAGGAATTATATTAAATTTGTTATTGTCATATTATCTAAATAAATTGTTGTAAATCAATTACGTGAATAATAAAAGCAAACAAATCTACTGATATCTTGTCCATTAAAACAGTTTTTTGTAAAGACTAAAGGTATCGACTGTACAAATTATCTATAAAAATAAATGAATTAATTTCATTATGACAATGTTTGACAGTTAGATCGTACATATTTATTTAATTTCTGCATCTTGTACTCAAAGTAATTAGTTTTAAAACATGTAGATGCAATTCCTTTACCATTACTGAGTCCCGATATGGGTGAATAATTTGGTAAAAACGATTTTATTAATTGCTATTCCAACGTTTTATTTAAAGCACTACAGTCTTCTATAAACCAACCAATAAAAAAATATTATTACATTAACCAAAGATAGTATGTACATTGTACTTAGAATGACAAGTGTTATGATCACATTTACGTTACACTGGTATTTGGACATTGGGTGATACTGTGGGGGATATCATGGAGACAAAAAGGACACATTTTTATATGAAGACTTTATCAATACTTAATTTTGGAATACTGATTAAACAATTACGCGAGTATTTGGTTATTGATAAATAATATAACCTGTAACAGTTAGTTCAGCAGATGTTGAAATATTGCCACATTCACAAGAATATTTGCCCATATCTTCCAATGATGCACGGGAAATCGCTAACCAATGATTGCCATTCTTGCTCATGACCATTAAATTGTTTGAAGTTTCAACCGGCTTGTAATCTTTCCTCCACTCAACATTTTCATCTGTTGGAATGTTGAGTTTACATGTCAAAATAGCTGAATCATTGATGTAGACATTTTTGTTCTGAAGTTCTTCAGTGAACATTTGGCCTGAAATATATTGTATTCTTTTGATAATGTTATATAACAGCTTAATCAAATATTTGTTGTGTTGAACAAGCAATTATTAACATCATTAAACATCACCGGATATTTTTGGCTTAAATGCGCAAAAGAGAATTCATGTGTATTTCGTAATGATTCATTTAAATCAAAGTTATGTAAACAAAATGAGCAAATTGCCAATTAAATGTTCAAACAAGAAAAAGATAACTATTATATCATCAAAGACTAAATATTTATCACTAATCTAAAACCTGAGCGCAATTATGTTTACTAAGAAGTTATTAAATAATCGGTGCTGGGTTCATTCTGCAAATGTATCGCTATAACGTTACAAAACAATTATTGGTAGCTTGAATAGAAGCATAGACTCACTTTAATTTTCCATAAACACATTAAAGTTTGAAGAATAACTTAATATACTTACTTATTGTCTGAAGTTTTTTATTGTTTTCTTCCTCAGAAATGTCGTTCTTTGTTACCAATTTAGCTTCTACTGCTATTTGTAGATGAGTTTTGAAATCTTTTGTATGTTTCAGTTTTCCTATTAGCCTTTCATTTAATTTTATTGACTTTGGTTCAATTGAATACATCATACGTTTACAATCATAATTAGCTTTGTCATCTATAAGTTTAATTAGCTCGAGTAATTGCTCGTGCAATAAATTGTGTTTTTCGTTGTAGATATTGTATGTTAAGGAAGCACATTCGGCGTAATTCTCAATGTCTTTTCTCTGATCATATAAACATTGTATAGCTTTAACCTCCAGATCAGTAAGATCTGATTTAAACAAGACCAATGTCACAGCACAAAACTGGCGAGTATCCCAACTGTCAATGTTTGTATTGACTTTGTCATCTTGAAAAAGTTGAAGATACTCTCTTTCGTACTGCTCTTTTAATATCACTCTTTTTTCATGTAATAAATTTGCCATATCTTTTCCACATTTTTCAATTTCCCTTTTTAAAATGGCCTTGAGTGCAACAGGCAAAGATTGTTCTAACATTAAAACATGGCTGAGGTAGAGTTCATGTCCTCTTGTTATATCAATGCTCTTCTATAACAAAATAATTGCAATATGCTTTTTAAGATGCCTAAGAAATATGCTTGAAAATCATAATGCGAGAAAATTCTCTGAAATGTCTTTGAAAATTAAATATTACCTCATTTAAAATTATAATAAATTAAATATATTAGATATGTTGAATTTATATACAATATATCAAAATTGTCTGAAAACGTAGCTTTAATACCGACATAAAATTTATCAAATGATGATTTCCAACTGTGTTCTTTCGATATACTTTTGATATAATTTTGTGCTGTATCTTGTTTTTTTAATGTTAACCTATAAAAATGTTACGGAAAGTCTAAACAAAATACTTTTTTAAAACAAAAATAGAATGTACCGATTCAAATGTCTCCATTTGTGTTTGATCCATTCGTCATTTAAAACTGTTTTGAAGATGGACACCTGTTGTGAAATGTTAGCTTTTCATGTTATGAAACTAAAGTAATACATTGAATAAAGCATATATGGTTAAAAAGAAAATTACTTATAATTGTATTAACCGAAACATAAAAGGCAAGTGTTCTTTTCCGAGCCATCACCCGGTGCATATCCATATCATTCCCTTCTTTGCGCTCCCCTCCTATAACGGTAGCCTTTTTGCAGATACACAAATCATTCTCTGCTGAAAACAATTAGGCGACATACAGACATCTCTTCTGATAAAAAGTGGTATGTCGAGTGGAAAAGGAATTATACCACGGAACCAATGACAGATTATTTACACATCATACATTTTACGTGTAGTGATTTTTATATTATATTTGGACACATTTTAAATGAATAGTCAAACCTTCATTTTAGATTAATAAAGACATCTAACTTTCGGTTTCTCAGCAACACGGGTTACCTCTTTTTCCTGTCATAGGCACCCTTTCTCTTGATTATGAAATGACCACGGACTTCTTATATCACATATCACAGAAAAATAAAGCGATTCTGGATTGTGTTATACATTTTATTGAGTTCTCTGTCGCATACTCAGTTTCTTCTACAATGAAAAAAAATGATAAAAACAAATGAGATGAAGGGTACGTACATGTGTTAGGAAAACACAATGGCAAAAAGGTAACCGAATGTAAGGTGTTTTTATTAATTCAAAAAGTATTTTGACTATTTATTGACATATGACAAAAGATACAATAACAATGATTACTCTGTACGATGTGTATATAATCAAATCATTGGTTTTGTTTGGCCCTTAAAACATGCCGAGGTGGTGGGTGTGGCGAAACATGGCGATTTTGTGTAGCGTACTCTGGAGTTGCAGTAATTGCAAAATGTACAGATTCCTTAAAAAGATATAGTTCAAACATTCTAGTGTTCCGTAGTTTACTTTTTAAATCGACATATCACCTTTTATCAGCAGAATAATAAATTACTAGATTGGTGTATGTCGCCTACATGTTTTCAGCTGAGAATGACAGAGAGTACCGCTTTAATATATTGCGCAAAGAGGGTACCGCTATGGATATGCACCGTGCATCAGCCTCGACAAATTCTAGCAACATTGTTTGTCAAAATTTTATAATAACAAAATATTTAAAGGTGTAACAGATTTGACTCTGCTTTTTCATAATAAGATTCAGACAAAATATTACCATCGGAATTTTAACAAGAGGGCCATGATGGCCCTGAGGTCGCTCACCTGTATATAGCCCCCCCCCCCTCCCCCCATGCCAATGTTTACCCAAGGGCTTTTATTTGTTTATTTGAACAAACTTGGTAGACACCCATAAGAAGATGTTTCATGCTAAACATCTAAGTTCTAGCTCATTGGGTTTTTTAAAAGAAGATTTTTTAAGTTTTTACTATACACATATAGTTAAAAACAATGACATCCCTGAGGCAGGGCCAGTTTTGACCCCCAGGCTTTAATTTGTAGATATTTACTTATAGATGTTTCATGCTTAATATCTAAACTAAAGCTATTTGGGTTTTTTCAAGAAGATTTTTAAGTTTTTGCTATATACATATAAGGAAAATCAATGACCCCCGGGGCGGGGCCAGTTTTGACCCAGGGCTTTTATTTGAACATACTTGGTAGACACCCATTAGAACATGTTTCATGCTAAATATCTTAGCTCTAGCTCTTTGGGTTCTTTAAAAGAAGATTTTTTAAGTTTTTACTATATGCATATAGGGAAAATCAATGACCCCCTGGGCGGGGCCAATTTTGACCCCAGGGCTTTTATTTGAACAAACTTGGTAGCCATTCACAAGAAGATGTTTCATGCCAAATATCTAAGCTCTAGCTCTTACGGTTCTTTAAAAGAAGATTTTTTAAGTTTTTACTATATGCATATAGGGAAAATCAATGACCCCCTGGGGCGGGGCCAATTTTGACCCCAGGGCTTTTATTTGAACAAACTTGGTAGCCATTCACAAGAAGATGTTTCATGCCAAATATCTAAGCTCTAGCTCTTACTGGTCTTTAAAAGAAGATTTTTTTAAGTTTTTACTATATGCATATAGGGAAAATCAATGACCCCCTGGGGCGGGGCCAATTTTGACCCCAGGGCTTTTATTTGAACAAACTTGGTAGCCATTCACAAGAAGATGTTTCATGCCAAATATCTAAGCTCTAGCACTTACGGTTCTTTAAAAGAAGATTTTTAAGTTTTTACTATATGCATATAGGGAAAATCAATGACCCCCCAGGGCCGGGCCAATTTTGACCCCAGGGCTTTTATTTGAACAAACTTGGTAGACACTCACTAGAAGATGTTTCATGCCAAATATCTTAGCTCTAGCTCTTTGGGTTCTTTAAAAGTAGATTTTTCAAGTTTTTACTATATGCATATAGGGAAAATCAATGACCCCCTGGGGTGGGGCCAATTTTGAACCCAGGGCTTTTATTTGAACAAATTTGGTAGACATTCACTAGAAGATGTTTCATGCCAAATATCTAAGCTCTAGCTCTTACAGTTGTTTAAAAGAAGATTTTTAAGTTTTTACTATATGCATATAGGGAAAATCAATGACCCCCCTGGGCGGGGCCAATTTTGACCCCAGGGCTTTTATTTGAACAAACTTGGTAGACACTCTTTAGAAGATGTTTAATGCCAAATATCTAAGCTCTAGCTCTTATGGTTTTTTAAAAGAAGATATTTAAAGATTTTTCTTTCGGTTGCCATGGCAACCAGAGTTCTGCATGGAATTAAATTCTTTGAACAATTTTTAAAGGTGACCACCAAAGGAACATTCCTGTGAAGTTTGGATGAAATTGGCCTAGTGGTCTATGAGGAGATGTCATTTAAAGCAAAAGTTTACGGACGGACGGACGAGGGACGGACGACGGACGGATGCCGGACGAAAAGCGATCACAAAAGCTCACCCTGTCACTTTGTGACAGGTGAGCTAACAAGAGCTGTCGGAAGGACAGCACGCTCGACTATTCTAAGTGCTTGATAGTTAAAGAGTCTTGATAATGTTAAATTTTCTAAGTTCACAAAAGGGCTAGTTTTTTTTTATAAATTCATGTTATAGGCCTTAAAGAGAGTCTAATTATACAGTATTGGCTTGACTATTTGGAAGGTAATGTCACAAGGGTGTTTTATTGAGTATAATAATACTAATTACCTATGAATACATAAAATTGACAGAAAAGGTACAAAGGCTTGTTATTAAGATGTTTTATCAAGTAAATCACTGTTTATTATTATGAATGCATACAATTGTCCCAAAAAAGGCACAAACCCTTCAGTAGTTATGGCGATAACAGCTTACAAGCAAAACTTTACCATGAATTTTTTAAGTTGAAAAAGGGAAGAAAAATCAGCCTAAATGCAAGATAGAATTATGGATCTTTGTCAGTAACCTACAATTCTGACCCTAAATGCATATGTGAAGTTTTAAATAAATATCTTTCATAGTTATTGAGATATGTAAAACTTGCATGTAAACATTAACCAAGAGACTAAGTAGAAAAGGGGATATGAATCAGCCTTAATGCAAGATAGAGTTATGGAACTTGGTCAGTGACATACAATTATGACCCTCAAATTATGACCCTAAGTACATGTGTAAAGTTTCAAGGAAATATCTCTGAAGACCTTTAACCTTTAACCAAAATCTTTAAGTTTCAAAGAGGCAAATAATTCTGCAAATATTGCAGACAGAGTTATGCAATTTTGCAAAATGATGTACATTGTTACTATAAAAACAGTATTGTAAATTTCAATTGAATATCTCAAGCAATAATTGAGATATTTGACTTTACAAAAAAACTTTAACCAAAATTTCTAAGTTTCAAAGGGGCCTAATTCTGTCAATATTGTAGGCAGAGTTATCCAACTTGTCAATCTGATGTACCTTATTACCATAAATAAGTATTGTAAGTTTCAATTGAATATCTCAAACAATAATTGAGATATTTGTCTTAACAAAAAACTTTAATTAAAATTTCTATGTTAAAAAGGGGCATAATTCTGTCAATATTATAGGTAGAGTTATCCAACTTGTCAATCTGATGAACCTTATTACTATTAATAAGTATTGTAAGTTTCAATTGAATATCTCAAACAATAATTGAGATATTTGTCTTAACAAAAAACTTTAACCAAAATTTCTATGTTAAAAAGGGGCATAATTCTGTCAATATTGTAGGTAGAGTTATCCAACTTGTCAATGTGATGTACCTTGTTACTATAAATAAGTATTGTAAGTTTCAATTGAATATCTCAAGCAATAATTGAGATATTTGACTTTACAAAAAACTTTAACCAACGCAGATGCCGACGCGGACGCTGACGCCGGGGCGACTACAATAGCTCTCATATTCTTCGAATAGTCGAGCTAAAAATTGGTTATAGTACCGGCAATAAAACAATAACCTTTAACTATACTTATCAATATGCCAATACGTTAGTTGTTAAATCTCAAGTGTAACCATAGCCTTACGCCTTGATGAAGCCTTTCTCTGCCAAAATGAAATTCAGGATACCCATTAAAGTCCTAGAAATCTCACAAGTCAATATATCCACAAACTGTAAAAAAATAACAGTGTGTTGAAAGATTTCCCAAATACTTTGTTTTGTATTCCAAAAGTCCCTTCTACTTTGACGGAATACTCTTAATGCTGCACTTTATCTTTTCAAATATTTTGTAAGTTTCAAAATACTTCTAAAACATATACATGTATAACTGGGTATCTCGTCGCTACAAGAAGTAATAACCTTATCATTGAACTCCCCTACAAACATTCATCATAATTGGTGTGGATATACCAAACGGCTAATCAAAGAGGTAAACCTCGGACCCCCCATCGTGCGTTATTTCACAACCTTTGAGATCTGATCAATAAATATTTTCAAATCAAACTTTGTTTAACTGATCATACCAGAATGTATGTAAGTACTGAAAGAAAATGTAAGAATGCAGAATGTATTTACAATAACCCAAGAGTTTTTCATTTTTATTTGTTTGGGTCGTCAGACCAAACAAATAATGGTAGCGAAATTTCAGAGTCTTATGCTGTTAATTGCAAATGCCGAAAGTAGTCCACTTTTTTGAAGCGGTTACTTCCCTTTATATGTACACTAATGCCGGAAAATTCAGGGGAGATCACTGCGTAAAGATTGTCAAAGACAGGCACATTAATTTTCAAGCAAAATAATTCCCGAATGGTCGAAGATTTCTAATATTGTTTTATTGTATTTTCTGATCGAAAATAAGTAAATACAAAGCGGGCATTCAATCTCTGACACAGAAGTTTACGACAAACCTTACAACAAGAAGTTCTCAAAACAGCTTAAAACTAGCGATTTAAAAGAAAGAAATATTTTTATTTTGTTATTAAGTATCCAACAAATTACAACGCAATCAAAGTTTAAAAATAGCGTTGGCTTATATAATTGTCAATAAATGCACAATCACAAATTACGCGGATGAATATGATTTTATCAATGAAAATACTATTTTTAGCGATGTAGATTACCGAATACTACACAAACCGAGTAGTGGAATATATAGATTCTACATGTCGGACTGTTTGGGCGAGAAGATTTTCGCTAAATTATTTACTTCGATTTTAAACAACAGGCTTATCCTGACCAAAATACCTCGAAATTAATAAGGATTACACCCGAAATGCAATATGGAAGTTCTAAATTTAGAATGACTTGATGTTATTCAGACATTGTTTGTATAACTTCTCCGTGGTGCAGGGGTAACGCGCTCGCTTAGTTAGTGAGAGGTCTGGACGAGGAAACTTTTTTTTAAAATTATTTTTTAAGTGTCTTTGTTAAGGAAGTAGCCATGGTATGCAAGGATAAAGTGTAGCTGTCGTAAAAAATGAACATAAATGATATTTTTATGCAACTCTAGTTATGCAGAATTCCGTATGTATCAAACTCTGGTGCCTTGCAAAATGAATTATAATACATAAAAAAACTTATACAGGAAAATACACACAGATATACAGTACGAATTAGATTGCAAAGATCAGAAAATACCAGAGAACTTGCAGCCCTTTGATTCTTTATAAATATACATGCTTATAGTAAGCTCCAGGATTATTTACATCTGTGTTTAACAACAGTTAAAGTCGTTACAAGCCCTAATTTAGAATAATACGGTTTTCTTCAGGCCGTTCACATATAAATTCACCGT